GAAACGTGCGATGTGGTAGGAGGGGGCTCTGCCGGTCCCCCAGACCCCCGGCTCTGCTTCACGCAGCCGCCTTAGTCAGCGGCGCTGGACGCGCTCCCCCAGGGCGCAGCGTTCGGGCGGGCCTGGGCGCCGTGCACACTCCATCGGAAGGCAAAAGCCCGTAGGTTTCCGGGGCGTCCACTTTCCGTGCCTCAAGGCAGGACAAGAAACGGGGCCATCTGCCGCGACACAGCTCAGAGTGGCGAAAGGGCAAGGCTCGCAGTCCCGCGGCTTTCTGCGCCTGCAGGTAGGCTCCTGGGTCGGCCCGGGCGCACGGGGCGGCTCGCTGCGGGGGCTGCACTGTGAGGCCCGCCAGGTGACAGGGGCCGGCTACGCGCGTGCTCGGGGACACACCGCGGAAGGGCTGCGCGGAGGCTGGGCTAGAGAAGCCGGCAGGGGCCGAGAACTCACCCGACCCCTGAGCAGCAGAGTCCGACTGCGCCCTGTCCCCGCGCTTCCCGCACGCCGCGCTGGCCATGGGCAGGGGCACCAATCCTGGGTCCGGCCAGTACCTGCTCCCGCTGAGGCAGGGGATCCACCATGGGCTCCATGCTGCGTGGCTGGCGGTGCCCGGAGGGGCAGGGCTGGCCACCCCCCGGCCCTAGGCTGCGATGGCTCTTGGCACCTCCAGGGGCCTGGGGAGGGTGTCCAGCGTGCGCTGCGGTCCCCGGCGCCCATTCCAGCTCCCCGGCTCTCTCTCCAGCTCATTCACACGGTGGACCTGGAAGCGAGGTCAGGCCGCCGCTTCCCATCTGCGGGAATCTGTCCGGGGTCTCCGGTCGGAGTAGGGTACCAGTCATCGAGGGCAGCGAGAAAGGGGAAACCGGTACGGAAAGGGGGCCGGCCGGGCCGTCACGGCTTCTCGTTGCAGTGTTTGCAAAGCGTCGAGGGCGTCCCGGGGAAAGCAGCGCACTTGTCCGGGCAGGGCCCGAGCGCGGCGCCCGCCGAGAAGGGATACACGGCGGCCTGACCGAAGGGCGTCAAGGGCGCGGCGGCCACGGGCGCGGCCAGGCTCTGGCCCTGGTTGAGGTAGGCCACCAGGCGCCGCATCTCGTCTAGAGCCTGCGCCTGCATCAGGATGTAGTTCTTGGCCAGCAGCAGCGTGGCGATCTTGGAGAGCTTCCGCACCGACGGGCTGTGCGCGTAGGGGATGACAGCGCGCAGTCCGTCCAGCGCGTCGTTCAGGTCGTGCATACGCCGCCGCTCCCGGGCGTTGATGCTCAGCCGGAGCGAGCGCTGCTCGCTGGG